GATTAATGTAATATGTTATTCCCGCCTTGTACCTATGTTAACCAATCAGCAACAAGATGCTTTGTGTTTGTATCAACCAATCAGCCACAAGCACACCTGTGGCAATGTTTGTAATATTCAATAAAGAGAGTTCCCGGGACTTGCCCCGGCAGACGCCTCTCCTTTGACACCCACCACTCGTCTGTCGTGATTTCAACCCAACATCTGGTGACCCCTGACGTGCCAGATCCCTTACGCAGCCAAACCTCATACTTCACCCGACTGGAAAAGTCTCAGCGCGCTACTTCGTGAGTATGGGAGGGGACTTGACTAAATTCCAGAAAGAGCATGCTAAAGAATTGCTTTATTTAGTTAGGCAGCGGGAGGTGGGTGTTAATATTTCCTTAAAAGAAATTGAACAATTGCTATGTGAGATTAATTGCCAATGCATCTTTTATCCAGAGGCTGGATCTTTGGACGTAGAGACTTGGCAAAAGATCGGAAAGACCCTTTTGCAGAACCTAGGGCTCCGATTCATTGTCTGCTCACTTGGCAGAAATGTGCTGATGCCGTTGCTAAATTAGGGCCCCAATTGGGACCCCAGGCGTCTCCTCTTCTGGCCATTGCAGACAATCCCCCACCCTACCCGAAACTTTTACCTCCTTCTCCCAGCCAATCCCTCCCTGCTTCTCACCCTCCTCAGCCTGCATCCTCCCCCCCCATCCCTCCTCCTCCTGCCACAGCCCCTGTTTGCTCTATAGGAGCTGTGCGTGCTGCGCTCTCTCTGGCAAGGCAACAAGGGCTCCTGTCCTTAGAGGAGGAGTCTGAGTGGCCAGGTGAAATGCCGTCTGCTTTCCCTATCTCTTATTCAAACCCTGGAACTGCTCAACAGCAGATTTATTATGAATCGCTTCCTTATTCTGTAATGAGGGAATTAAGGAAAGCCATTGCTGATTCTGGTCTGAAATCCTCTTATGTGACAGGGATGCTAGAAGGCATAGCAACTGGCTACATTATGCTACCTCAGGACTGGAAAGACCTGATGCGCATGCTTTTGTCCCCTGCTCAGTATGTGGTGTTTGAGAGTGAATTTAAACATAGCGCTTCAGCCCTGTCTGATCCTCAACATACTGCCAATGAACTTTATGGTGCTGGTCAGTTTGCTGATATAACTGCCCAAGCAACACTGACACCTGTACATTTTGTTCGCACCGCAACCTGTGTACAACGCGCCTTTCGGAAAGTCCCTGTTTCTGGGCAACCGCTGAGCTCCTTTGTAAATATTAAGCAACAGCATTCGGAGCCATACCATCAGTTTATAGATAGATTGAAAGAATCAGTCACTAGGCAGATTGATAACACCACTGCTCAAAATGAATTGATGAAAAAATTGGCCTTTGAAAACGCAAACACTGATTGCAAGAAAGCTTTGCAGTCAATCATACATCGCCCTAAATATGAACTGGCCGATATGATTCAAGCTTGTGCGGATGTCGGTAGCCAGAGCCATGCGATGTCTTTGCTTGCCGGCGCAATCCAAGCAACCACTAAGCCTACTGGTAACTGCTTTAATTGCAAGCGCCCAGGCCATTTTGCCAAGCAATGCAGAGCCCCTGGCGGGGGGGGCACACAAGGATGGTGCTGCCTCTAAGGCTAAACCTTCTAAAAAGTGCCCGAAATGTGGCAAAGGCTATCATTGGGCTAATCAATGCAGGAGTTCGGGAAACTGCCTCCCGGCCTCGCTCTCGGGCCAGGAAAATTAGAGAGATTTCCACCTTTAACTTCTGCTGCTGCAAACTTTTCAAAGAACACACCCTCTGAATTTGCAATTGATTTGATCAATCAAGAAACCAAAGACTCTGTTCTACCTGGTGAAATTGTGCTTATGCCCACTCAATTGGCAGGTCCCCTGCCTCCTAAAGTCGCAGGTTTAATTTTACCCAAATTTTCTGCGGCAAAGGAAGGCATCCAGGTTATTCCTGGAGTTCTGGATCCTGACTATGTAGGCACAATAATGGTTCAACTCTGGAGCCATATGCCCATGCAATTAAAAAGGGGTGAGTCTTGGGCGCATTTGGTGGTGCTCCCTTCTCATCCTACTGCTTCTATTATGGATACTAATTTGCACGAGCTCTCTTCTTTCCCTCCACAGCTGTTAGCTGTAGTCCAGAGGATTGGTGAGAAGAAACTTCTTCGTAAGTATAAAATCAATGGTATTGTGCTGGAAGGCTTGATTGACACAGGCGCAGACGTTTCTGTAATTTCTAGTAGTTGCTGGGACCCCACGTGGCCCCTTGAGTCTGCTTCTGCAGTCTGGGGTGTGGGTGGCCCCAAACCTCTTCCAAAAGCGTACAGTGGCTGCCTGTTTCTCTGCCTGATAGCTCTGAAACCATTGCTTACATCCAGCCCTGTGTGCTGAAAATCCACCTCAATCTGTGGGGAAGAGACTTACTACAACAATTACAAGCTACCATTCAATTTAATGAGTAAGCTTGCACTTCCCTCAACTGGAAATCTTCTGGTCGTGTCCTGGCTATACGTTTAATTACATTCCAGCAATACATCAGCCATGGCACACCTTGCTGTTTAAGCCGTTTGTCCATCATTTTACCCAAGAAGCATCATTTATCCCGCTCTCGATATCGCTGCAATATTGAATTGACTAATGATTGTGATGCTTTTGTCTCTCTTCTCAGTAGGTCTGAATATATCTCTTTAGTTGCTTCTCTCTTAGGAGTCCCTGGATTGGCTGTACGGAATCGAATGAACATTACTTCTTTAGCTTGTTATGCAGCAAAAAACTCTGAATTATATTTCACAAGCCCTTCACCTTTTGAATAAAGAACAGTGCACTTCACAATGGACTTTTACAAAATCCTTTACAAAATGGACTTTTTACATTATATAACCCCCTTTTGAATAAAGAACAGTGAACTATATAATGGACTTTTATGAAATCGTGCTGCTATCACTATTTGCTCATGCTTCATCATTATGGCTGTGAACAAGTGAATGACATGTGTTGTTTCAATATTACTGACAATTCAAGAGCCATTCAAAGTCAAATCTCTCATTTGCAAAATCTTACACATTACATTAAACAGGACATTGGTTTTCCTGGCCTCTGGGATTTTTTCACCCAGTGGCTCACTGCTTGGCTGCCTAACCTTACTTGGCTTCGTAGTCTCTTTCAATATGCTATTTTCATAATTTGTATTTTTATTTTACTATGCTGTTTCCTTCAATGCGTTCCCAGCCTCATGAGTCTTTTCTCTCGGCCTCTCTCCCCCTCTCCACCACCCAGTAAACTGCTTGCTGCTTACATTGTGAAATGGCAACACCAACAGTAAACCTTAGGGGAGATGTGGGCGGATTTATTTTGGGCATGCGCTGGCAAACCACGTATCCTGGAGTATTTTTGTCCCCTCGACCCTGGCAGGCTTATTTCGGGCATTCGCTGGCACACCACTAATCCCGAAGTATTTTTGCCTTATCTACCTAGAACGCCTCGCAAACAAGAAAAGAAAGGGGGAGATGAAGGGAAGTTTTCTTTCTGCAGTTTCTCTTACTGCACATAACTGTGGCATTATGGGAAGTCTTACTATGAAATCTTTCTATGCTTACTATGAGAACTCTTGCTTCTTTCCTCTTGGATTCTGGGAAGTCTTGCTCATAATCTTTTCTCTGCTTCTGCACAAGAGTCTGAGAATGTTCTGAACAGTTCCCATTGAGTTCATGAAACAGTGTATCCTGACCTGTTCTTAATGCATTGCTGACCACATTTACGGGACGTGATTGTTGTATTCCTTCATGTTATGTTCTCTCAATATCAATCTTTAGTTATAATTTAATTAGGAGGATTCATGCCTGTCTAGTTCCAGCTCCGTTCCCAGTCTTTGAACTATCAGTGATTAATGTAATATGTTATTCCCGCCTTGTACCTATGTTAACCAATCAGCAACAAGATGCTTTGTGTTTGTATCAACCAATCAGCCACAAGCACACCTGTGGCAATGTTTGTAATATTCAATAAAAGAGAGTTCCCGGGGCTTGCCCCGGCAGACGCCTCTCCTTTGACACCCACCACTCGTCTGTCGTGATTTCAACCCAACAGCACACGAAAGCTCATACCAATAACAAACTTAGTTGGTCTCTAAGGTGCTACTGGAAGGATTTTTTTTATTTTGTTTCAACTATGGCAGACCAACACGGCTACCTACCTGTAACTAGAACCTGTGAGGAAGGTTAGGCTGAAAGGCAGTGACTGGCCCAGGGTCACCCAGTGAGCTTCATGGCTGAGTGTGGATTTGAATCCTGGTACCCCAGATCCTAATCCTAGTCTGACACTAACCACTACACCAAACTGGCTTTGGCTTGCCATGTGCTCCTTCAGCATATATCTGGGAATGTAGGATATGGTTATAGTCTAGCCTTGTGCAGGCATCCTTCTTCTGTGTTTCATGTGAAGAGGGAGAGCAATGATGCACATGATAGCTCCACTGCCACATCACCGATAACCATTATCATCCATCTGTTGGAGGAACAGCTTCTGCAATGGGAGCCTTTTCTACTCATGTACATTCCACATGCAATGGCAAAACCTACATGTTACAGGGAACCTATGTGAATAGGAAATACTCCCCAATGCAGAAGTTATCCCTCCAACTCATGGAAAGCAATCAGAATGAATATGAAAGCTGGAGCTAGAGCTGTCTAATTGCTCTCTCCACACATCTTACAGGCGTAAGATGCCCAAATAGAGACAGAGACTATTCTGTACGCCATATACTGTATTTGATGGGAAGAAATAATTGAGATAAGTGCTAGCCACTACCTGAGTTCTGCTAATGGAGCCAGAATATTATTTTACTCATTTTTGGTATGGATTAGTGCTATGGCAAAAAAGCTGTGGACAAGTTTAAAACTGCTTTCAATGGTATGTGTAGTAGATATTTGAGCAGATAAACAGAAATTCTAAGCATAAACACATTTATTGTTTTGTTTTTAAAAAAATAAAAATCACCTCTGTGATTGTTGTGCTGTAGCGCTGGGCCCATTCTGGATATTGGTTTGGTTAAACTGGTGAGCACTAGGAGATGGTGAACCAATGGGAGCAGCAGACCCGAAAGGCACATTAGGTTTCAACATAGCTAAAGTAAAACACAGGCATGAACATAGTGGATAACAATAGAAAATCACTGCATAAATGAGGTACACATTACCAACAGCTAAAGCAAAATAAGTATGGAATTTACTTATGCACTTCATAAAAAGGAAGTCTAAATGCTCAGGAAGTTATATTATGCTCTAGTATTTACTGTAAATTCTAGATGGCAGATCACTCACAGAATATGCACAGTCTACATAATACCAAGACCAAACATCTTTCTTTGCTCAAGGTCTTCCCATTGTAATACCTGATTAAACCAGGAGCTTTTCTTTTCACTAATAGTGCAAAATAAATCTAAACAAGTACAGTGGTACCTTGGTTGTTGAATGGCTTGGCTCCCAAACAAATCAGCTCCCGAACGCTGCAAACCTGAAAGTGAGCGTTCCAGTTTGTGAACGTTTTTTGGAAGCTGAACGTCTGATGCGGCTTCTGCAGCTTCCGATTGAGTGCAGGAAGCTCCTGCAGCCAGTCGGAAGCTGCGTCTTGGTTTTTGAATGGTTCCAGGAGTCAAACAGGCTCCTGGAACGGATTACGTTCGACAACCAAGGTACCACTGAACAGTAATGTCATGATATGGATAATGACATGCACTAGTATAGTGGAGACATCAACCGCTATATGGCCAATGCCTTGATGTTACTTTACCTGATTGAGATGCAGAAGAAGATGAGTTTACGTCACCATAGTGTCCATACATATGTGAAGAAGCAGGTTGCCCCAAACCAGCAGAGAATCCCCCCATTCCTGGCTGGGGCTGAGAATATGGAGGTGCTGCAACATATCCTTGCTGATTCATTTTAGCAGCGATTTATTTCTGATGGAAAACCTGTTATAGAAATTAGAAGAAGTAATAAAATCAGCAATACTTCACTGATACATAGTGCAGGTAAAGCACAGAATGAGCTTTATGACCCAAAAGCAATGTTACAAGGCAAGAGGACAGCATCCTACTTATTAGCTCTCTTGCATAATGGCTACCAGATTATTTATTTGATCTGGACAAAACGCACAGACGTTCTCTTGTAGCAAAGGCACTGATACAAACACTTTTTAAAAAAAAAAAATCTGCTAGATAGGTGGATAACATTAATCACAGACTGAACCACTGTTACTTGTTGTGAAAACAACCAGGTTTTGCCCCCAGTGGTTATCTGGTAGGATGGCCAAATTTCCTGATTTGTGGCTGTGATGGGATGATGAGCTGCTTGTGCGTAAAATCGTATCCCCTCAGAGTTTGTTCAGGTCCACAAACCTCTGTCTGTGACGGAGCCCCTCAGACATGGCTCCTCTAGTCACTAGCAGATTCCGACAGTGGTTGCTTTCGTAATCGCTTCCAACATAAAAGCTCCTTAACGGAAACACGTCTTCTGGACTCTCTGCGTGACAGTTTCCGGCGAGGAGTGGGTGTTCTTACAGGAGGTCCTGAAACCTCCCCACTGTTTTCGCTGGAAGTGTCTCTGAGCCATCCC